CAGGCCTGTGTGCGTCCTGGGGTCCTGGGCGGCTGGGCCATGGCTGTGACACCGCCTGTCCCCTGTGCCCAGGCCCACTTCACACGCCCTCCTCTGCCCACAGGCCCCGGCTCAGCCCACGGCAGGCCCCAGGCCCCAGGGTCGCCACCGCCACCGCCTGTCCCACTGGCTGCAGAGGCTGCAGCAGGCCCCCGAGAAGGTGAGTGGGTGGCAGAAGACGGAGGTGGAGCAGCTGGGCCTGGCCACGGCAGCCACTGAGCCCCTGTCCCCACAGGAGTCCCCCGCCTGCCTCCAGGCCTCCGTCACCTTCAACCTCCTCCGCCTCCTGGTGCGCGATCTGAAGTGTGTGGCCAGTGGACACCTGTGCGTCTGACCCACACCCTGCTGCATGTCCCCGCCACTTAGATATCATGAGGCCCTTCCATCGCGGCCTCCAGAGGTATTTGGTTGTAAAGTCCCCAAAAGATGTTTATTCTTGTGATTTTTATGCACTTTGTGGAAAATAAACAATTTGCCTGTGACGTTGACCTTGTTTGTCTAAGTGTCTGACTGTGACTGACAGGGGGGGGCAGTGAGAAAGGGGGAGAGGGAGAACCTCAAGGAACAAACGGGGATCACGGGACACTTTCGGCTGCACGTCCTGGGCCCGACCAGCAGTCACAAGGAACAAGCTGGCCCAGGGGGCTGTGTCGGGGTCAGGTCAGCAGGACGGTGGCCTCCTCCTGGGCTCGGGTCTGCACCGGGTGTGTCTCTAAGGACACTCGTTGTGACTGTGTCACATCCGCCATCACCGCCTTTGGTGGTGGTTTCCATTCTCGGCCACTGGCACCGCGTCCCCGGGACCGCAGGGTCCACTCAGAAGGGAGATTTACTTCTTCCAGTTCCAGAGCCCGGGAGTCCAGGGCGCCTGCCCGAGGCCTCGGAGCCCCGGAGGGCGTGGCCTCTCGCCTGTCCCGAAAGCGTGCATGCGTGGGAGCAGGACCGTCCAGGGAACTCGGAGGGAGCCCCCTCCCAGGCTAGGGACAGCCCTCATCCATCCTGAAGGTGGCGGCCCGTGACCTAGTCACCTCTTGTAGTTCCACCTCTTGCTGCTGTTGCAGTGACAATGAGATTTCGACTTGAGGACACGTGTCAACCACTGCAGGTGACTACTGTCAGGGTTGTCCCAGGAATGTCCCAGAGAGAGATGTCATCCAGAAGGCGTGTCGTTGGTGGGCCTGGGTAGGTTAGAACTCATATTGATTGCAAGCAACGGAAACCCACCCGAGCTAGCCTAAGTGGAAGGGGAGCGGTGTGCGCGGTAAGTGAAGAGTTTGGGAGAAGCTTCTGGCATTACCTTGGAAGTCCAACAGATGCAGACTCTATGAGCCAGAAACTCTCCCCCTAAGATATATCCACGGAGACTCCAGCACCTGTGCACTGAAGCCGGCACAAGAATGTACTTTGGAGCATTGTTGGTGACAACGAGAAGTTAGAAACCATCCAAAGAGCCACTAACTGGATGGATAAAGGAAATGGAGTCCCGGAAACTATGCAGTAAGAGGATGGATGAGGGCTGGGCTGGGCTGGGGCTCGGTGGCAGAGCACTCGCCTAGCATGCATGAGGCACTGGGTTCGATCCTCAGCACCACATCAATGTAAAATAAAGATATTGTGTCCACCCA